GGCAAGGTTGGCTAGTAGAATTGACGCCCCCAGTACCGTAATTAACGTTTCCAGACTACATCGAAATCGAAACGACCTATGGCTGAACGGAAAAGTTGATCAACGAGAATGTGTAATTACAGTCGACACCGGAGCAAGAAAATCGATTTTAAGATCTGATATGGTACCCAATCTGAAGAAAGAGACTTCTAACAAATACATCCTTCGAACAGCTACCGGAGGAACGGCACCAGTCTATGGAAAGATTCTCCTTACTGTTCAGCTAGGCGACTTGTTATTCGAAGGTTCATTCTTAGTCGCGGATATCATCGACGAACGCATAATAGGTGTCGACTTTCTGACAAAATATGGGTTCAAAATTGACTTAAAAAAACGCATTCTTAGATGGAGAAATACAGAAGTGATAATGGAGGATAGCGACGAAAAATGCATTCGAGTGACAGTCGATTGTGACATAGAACTACCTCAATCATCTGAAAACATCGTATGGGGCAAGTTGAATTGTGATCCAAGGGGCCACCAGTTCTATTTGATGGAGCCAACCTCAACGACAAATGTACAGAACGCGGTCATTGGAAAACGCCCGGTAGAAGCGAACAAAAATGGTCTTATTCCTGTCAGAATAATGAATACCGCTTAACACACTATTAAAATTAAAAAAGGCGAGGAAATAGGTAATTGCCAATCAATAAATTTGGTGAAATCATTAGATGTGGAGCAACAGGAAAAGGTTCTACCAACTGACAAAGATAGACTCAAAGAACTTACCAAAAATCTACTGGATGAACTTAATTTGTATCAAGAAGACCGTCTAAAAACCGAGGCGTTGATTGCTGATTTCGCAGACGTGTTTTCAACCGGTGACAATGACCAAGGTAAAACAGCTCTGGTAACTCACCGAATTGATACTCAGAATTCGAAACCGATCCGACAAGTACCACGACGTCTTCCTCTAGCAAAACAAACAGAAGTAAACGAAATGATAACGACAATGCAGAATCAAGGCGTCATCGAACCGTCATCAAGTCCCTGGATTTCGCCAGTTGTTTTGGTAAAGAAGAAGGACGGCACTACCCGTTTTTGCGTTGATTATAAGAAGTTAAATGATGTGACTAAAAAGGACAGCTATCCGTTACCGAGGATTGAAGACATCATGGACACCCTATCTGGCTCAAGTTGGTTCTCTACGCTTGATTTGAAAAGCGGATACTGGCAAGTAGAAATCGACAAGAACGATCGCGAAAAGACAGCGTTTTCTATCGGATCGGGGTTGTGGCAATTCACCGTCATGCCATTTGGATTGTGCAATGCTCCAGCTACATTCGAGCGACTGATGGAATGTGTATTGCAAGGTCTTAACTGGAAAACCTGTCTTGTCTATTTAGACGACATAATTGTTCTAGGAAGAACATTTGATCAACACGTCGAAAACTTACGGGAGATCTTCACAAGACTTCGGGTGGCAAATTTAAAGCTGAACGTTAAAAAGTGCAGGTTATTTTCTAAAGAAGTTAACTATTTGGGACATGTGGTATCTTCAGATGGAGTTCGAACTGATCCCAGCAAGATAGAAACTGTGAAAGACTGGCCAACTCCAAAGGATAAAAATGAATTGCGCAGTTTTCTGGGATTGGCAACGTACTATCGACGTTTTGTAAAGGATTTTGCAAAAGTTGCCAGACCTCTCCACCAACTTACCGAGAAGGACCGAGTTTTCAACTGGAATACCCTATGCGACTCAGCATTTGAAAAGTTAAAAGTTGAACTATGTGATCTCCTTTGCTATCATATCCAGTTCGTGGCAAGACGTTCGTGTTAGATACTGATCCAAGTAACAACGGAATCGGAGCCGTTTGTCACAGCATATAGACGGAGAAGAAAAGGTGCTAGCGTATTATAGCAGAGGATTCACAAAACCCGAACGAAACTATTGTGTGACCAGGAAGGAGTTACTAGCAATAGTCAATGCAACAAAACACTTCCACAAGTACCTTTATGGACAGAAATTTCTTCTCCGAACTGATTATGCAGCGTTAAGATGGCTCCTCAACTTCAAGGATCTTGAAGGACAGATGGCCCGATGGTTGGAACGTTTACAAATGTACGACTTCGAGATCGTGCACCGCAAAGGAACAACTCATAGTAATGCTGATGCTCTCTCACGTCGACCATGTTTACCAGGATGCAAATATTGCTGTCGTCACGAGGAGAAGATACAATCGTATGACATAAGAGCAACAACAATATCAGCGGATGACGGTTGGATACCGACGGATCTTGCTGATGCACAGTTTGCGGATGAGGACCTACAACATCTGATCACATGGAAGAAGGAGGGCAAGCGACCGGACTGGCAAAGCATCTCAGAACATAGTGCCGTGTTAAAGGGTTATTGGGCTCAGTGGGAATCTTTGTATTTGGAAGGAGATTTGCTGAAACGAAAATGGGAATCAGCTGATGGATCAAAACACAGCATGCAGGTTGTAATACCAAGAAGTAAAACGACCGAAATCCTTGATGAAATGCATGGCGGCCCTTCTGGGGGACATTTAGGAGTGAACAAGAGAAGGATTCTACTGGCTTCACGTTAGAGAAGATGTAGAGAAGCTGGTGTCGAAAATGTAACACATGCGCTTCAGTCAAAGGACCCAAAAGAAGGCTAAAAGAAGCAATGCAAATCTACAATGTTGGTGTCCCCTTTGAACGGATTGCTATAGATATTGCTGGACCCTTTCCGGTATCAGATTATGGAAACCGTTACATTCTGGTTGTAGCGGACTATTTCAGCAAATGGCCTGAGGTGTTTCCAATACCCAACCAAGAAGCATGTACCGTCGCTGAGGAAATTGTACTCAATTGGATTAGTCGATATGGTGTCCCATTGGAACTCCACTCAGATCAAGGTCGAAATTTTGAGTCACAACTGTTTGGTGAAATGTGCAAGCTGCTGGGTATAAACAAAACTTGAACGACACCTCTTCACCCACAGTCTGACGGTATGGTGGAACGATTCAACCAAACCCTGATTGAACATCTGGCTAAAGTAGTCGACGAAATTCAACGGGATTGGGATCGTCATATACCATTGTTTTTTATGGCATACCGGAGTGCTATCCACACAACTACTGGAGAAACGCCATCAAGAGTTCTGTTTGGGACTACCTTAAAAACTCCAGCTGATGTGAAATATGGCGTATCACCTGAACCACACCAACCATTAACAGAATACGTGGATAATCTTCGACAACGATTAAACCATATCCACCGTTACGTACGCCTTAAAATTATGAAAAACACGGAGGCGGCCAAAACCAGATACGACTTGAAAGGAAGCAGTGGCGGTTTTGCTGTCGACGAGTTAGTTTGGTTGTACAACCCACAGCGGAAGAAAGGACGTTCTCCAAAGCTCCAGCGAGGGTGGGAAGGACCTTATCAAGTCATCACCCGCTTGAATGACGTCGTCTACCGTATTCAGGAATATCGGAAGCCGAGAGCAAGAATGAAGATCGTTCATTTGGATAGACTGGTTCCGTATCATGCGGACACCGGAACGAAAGCTGTTCGGGACGAACAGAACTAAGAAGGGAGTAATGTTATAACCGTGCTACCGAACGCACTAGATTCTAGCGTATTCTAGAATGTTCTAGTGACTGGAGCATTCTAGAGTATGCTAGAATCGGACCATCGAGAAGAATCTAGAAACGACGCTTGCGAAGAGTATAAAAGCGCACGTCGCAAGATATTCGTGAGGAGTGAAATTCGTGATTTTGTGATTAGCGATTCGGTGAATTATTTAAAGCGATATTTGATTTGTTTGTTGACGTTGTCATAGCGATAGATTTTGAAAGATTTAAAAGTTAATTGTTGCGTTAGTGCGAATTTACTGGAAATAAACGATTAGTTGATTTCTTCTGTAAATAAAGTTTAATAATTAATAATAATTGATTTCTTCTGTAAATAAAGTTTAATAACTGTTTGGAATATTTTATTCAATCGAGGATTTGAACCCGTCGCATCGTAAATCGGTTACGACAGCGAGTATTATAACAATATGATAAATTTGGTACTGCATAAAACTACAGAAGATATTAGCACTTATTGGAGTGCATCAAATAACTTTTATGATTTTTCATTACAGGGGTCTCATAAGAATAGGTCTCGAATGAGCATTCGAAAGTTATTGCATGACAATTGGGCATCGTCATCTGTTTGGTTCAAGGTTCAACCACTCGATTACATCAGGTCGTTTTTTAGCTTTGCTGTTATAAATTGACATTGTCGTATTCTTTACCTCTAATTAACTTTTGCTTGGAATGAAAGACACGCCGGAAGTTTTCCACGTTTTTACTTCAACAAAACAGAACTTCAACGACTAACGTAACGGGTTAATATAAAGCATCTATAATAAAATTTCTTGTTCACGAATTGCAACGACAGTGACAGTGACACGCTTCCCAGTTCCGTCCGCAATTACGTCTTTCTGGTTTTCAATAACTCTGTCCTGTATCGACTCTGATGGCTTTAGAACTTCTCCTATCTTCGGTTATTTCGCAATTCTGACTGACCATCAACTGTTTGGCTGACTAACAAACTTCGGAACTCCGACTGAAACTTAAAATACCCTGTAAACAACTCTCACTTTAACTGATTAATAATTTTGTCAAAAGGCGTGCCTCGAGCGCTTTCCAGTTACTTTGACCTGCCAATCCTCATGCATCTTTTTACCGATCACATTGTCTAACCCCCGACGGGATATATTTTTAGACGGTTCATTTTTCTCTCCCCTATGCTTTTTCTATTGAATGGCTGTTATTCCTATGATTCAACGTTTTGAAACTTGTTTCTAAAACACTAACTAATAAGATGTATGGTTGCAAATGTTTAAGCTCAAAATTTGACCATTAATCAATGTGTGGGTTAACAAATGTTATACTTTATTTTGGACATTATTTGAAACAATCAACAATTGCTAAACGACAATGTGTTTCAAATATCTGTTCTAAAAAAGTTTATTTATTGACTTGAATTTAACTAAATTAATCAACTAATCAAATTGTTGATCATTAGACAACCTTTTAAATTGAATTTATTGAAACTATAAGCAACTTTTTAAAATACTGTAATAAAAACAGATCATACTTTGGAGAGAAGATAGGTTTTTACTTTGCGTGGTTAGGCTATTACACATATGCCTTGATTCCCGCGTCAATCGTCGGATTGCTTGTGTTTATATATGGACTGGTCTACATAAACTCAGATCCAATTGCGTAATTTTTTTATTTTCATTGGTTACTAACCAGACTGCTATCATTATTTTGTTTAAAAATTTTGAATAATTTTTAAAACAACCAAGTTCAAAGTTTAAAATCACCGGTTACGAATTATATATTCATTTCATCATAAAATATTTTTTATTTTCAACCTAAAAAAATATTTTCCAGAAAAGACAGTTGCGAGAAGAACATGTTTATAATGTGCCCAAAATGTTACAAACGTTGCAGCTTTTGGGGCTACCATCGCATGTGCTATTACATTTTGGTCACGCACCTTTTTGACAATGCAGCTACTGTCTTTTTTGCTGCTTTCATGTCTCTTTGGGGTGAGACGCTTACTTGATTCGTTTAAGAAGTTAACTAACAGTGATTACTTTTATCTTTAGGTACAATCTTTTTAGAATTTTGGAAACGAGAGCAGGCATCAATACAATACCTCTGGGATCTGAAAAACTTTGAAGAAGAGGAGGTACAAAATTGTTATTACTGTTGGGCAGACATTGAATTATCATTACAATTGTTATTCTTATTTGCTGATTAGAGATATTTTAAATAACTATTATCAGGAGCCTCCTAGGCCTGAATATTTGGTGAAGATTTCAGAGTCAAAGTATACGAAAAAAAATAAAGTCACAGGGGTTAGTTAAAAAAGGATTTGATGTTTTTAAACATCTGAATTAATACATTTTTATTGTCCTTTTCGATATTCAGATTTTTTATGTAACTGACGAATGAAACGGAAACCTGGTGATTTTATTCCGTATCATTACAAAGTGCAAACATTTTTGTTGAGTACAAACGTTTCTGTTAATTACAAACATTTCCGTTAAGTGGTTCTTATGTGTGTCAGTTTGTTAGTTTGTACAGACTTGCTGGCAGAGCCGTATTTATTATTGAGCTAAAAAGGCTGGAGCCTAGGAAGGCTGGAGCCTTTGAAGCCTAGAAAGCCAAGGAATGCGCCCTAGTTTTATTCTGCTGATGCTGATGCTTTTTTTCACAGATCGGTGCCTGGTCCATTGTTGTAGGAAATGTTATACCCTGAGGCTTTGAAGTTTTGAAAGCTTTGAAAAAATGAAGCTGATCTTTGCTCTTTCGCTTTGTGTTTTTTTAGAAAGCGTTCAGTTGAAGTGACTGACGTGTTATATAATTTCTTATTTTTATAAGTATAGGGGCACATGTAAAACGTGATTTTATATCGAAGAAACTTCCATCTTATTAAAAAAAATTGTGTTAAATGATTTTTTTTGCTACATTCAATAAAATAATTGATTTGATTTGAATTTTTTGTAAGTTTGTTCAATTCGGGTTTTCTATTCCTTACTTAATGTTTTTCAGAAAGAAGAACCTTACCATCCGTTTTGGAAAAGAAAAATGCCAGTATACCTCACATCGGCATCTGTCATGTTCTTCTTAGTATGTTATATTTCGTAAAATGTATTTGATATTGTGAATTGTTAGAAATCAATTTGCTATCAGATCTTAGTTGCAATAGCGGTGGTGTTGGGCGTGACTGCCTATCGAATCGCCATATTGTCAGTCATGTATACCAATGACCATCAGATGGTTTATAAAAATGCCCCTTTAATTGGATCCATTTCTGCTGCAATCATCAACCTGATCCTGATTTTTATTCTCAATTTTGTAAGTCCTAGATTAATAAAGTGCGATTGACGGTCATTTAACATCTTTTCAATTTTTTCAGGTTTATGAAAAGTTAGCAATCAAACTGACTGACTGGGAGTGTTTGAGGACTCAGCATGATTATGACAACAGCTTAAGATATAAAATTTACATCCTTCAATTTGTTAACTTTTACTCGTCACTCTTTTACATCGCATTCATCAAAGGAAGGTAAAAAACCACTGTTAAAGCATTTCCGCAGTTTAAACAACATAACCACCCCCTTTTTAATATTTCTTCAGAATTTTTTCTATTTTTATTTTCTATTTTGTCTTGGGCAGCAATCTTTAAAATACTTTGTTTCCATTATTTACAACTTTAAAAATTGTTTAACTTTTGGTGGTCAAGGTTGAAAAATAAAATTATGCATGTGGTGCATGTTTAGTATATATGTGATGTATTTGGAGAGCAATTTTGCCGCCATCGTTTATTTAGGACTAGGTATTTATATTATTTTAATTGTCTAACCATTCTCAGATTTAATGGTCCACCAAATGAACGATCCAAAATATTTAATGCAAGATTAGAAGAGGTTAGTTGGTTTCAGACATTTTTGGCACTTTTCGTTTTTGTTTTCAATGACGATTTTAACTCGTATTTTAAAATGCTAATGGGGTTTATTACTGATTTTAAAAGTAATTTTGAACCAAGCTTATCTAGTTTTTTCAAATCATCATTTTAACGTACAATGTTTAAAACTCCGTTAGACAGGCGCAACTCTAAATCTGTTTTGTGTACATTCCAATATTTTTCAAAAATTGTCTTGCTAAACACAAATACAGAGTCACTCTTTACTCTTTTTTGTTATTAACCCAATTTTTCCAGTTTTATAGGATTTATCCAGCCGCCATAACTACCCTACTACTCGTAGACAAGCAAGTATAAGTGCGAACAGCTTGTTTTGCTAATTCATCTAAGTTGCTTTTATTTTACCTGTATTTGAAGTTTTTGTTTTAATATAATTTCAGACATGAACACGAACATTTTGTTTTATAACTTAAAAACTTTTTAATACACCGTTCGACAGCTCGTTCTTCCCTCGACCATGTCTCAAGTTTCTAAATCCACCTATGTTACTAATAATCAAGCTTCTGAGTTTCAGGAATGACGTCATCCACTGTTTTCTCATTTCGGTTTCTTGTCTCATATCTGTTCTTAGTTTGTCACTAGTTCGTTATCCGAATGTTGAATCTTCAATCGATATTTTGAGCCATTTTCTAAAATTGTTTCTAGCTATGCGTCTTGTCTAGTTGCTTATGTGCCTTAATTTTTCACGTGTTTTCCTTCGTTCTTTTGCCTTAAATTGCTTTCCAAGGTTAATCTTTAGACCTAAAATTGCATGCTTAGTTTAGTTACGATTTAATAATTTTTCTCACAGTAATATTTTGGTATAGACTTATTAGATTAATTTTTTTTAAATCCCATCTTTGTCTTTAATAATTTTTATACTTGACTTTATTTCAAATTATTCTCTAATTTAAAAAGTCGAACTTCCATTCATGCGAAGCTACGAAAGAAAAAAAAATACGGGGCCTTGAAAATTTACATGAATAATGGAATACAACGATACATCTTCCATTCTTTTAAACTTACTGATTCATCGCAGACAACTTTTTTTTATTGAAAAGAAATTTTTGTTCTTACACATTTCAGAACATTTTTATTGACTTAGGCTAATCTGTTTTTTGGAAATTAAGTTCCTTGTAAAAGTGCATCATGACCTATTTTATTTTTGTTGGCCTGTACATTCTTTTAAATTGATTTACCTATTTGCTTATTATTTTTAGCGTATTTTCGTATTTTCATTTTGAAAATCTAAAACAAATTTGTAATTTCATATTTTTAAAACTTTTAATGCAATGACTTTGTTATTTATGTACATGTTTTTTATTTGATTTATATTTTTTTAAGTCAATTTTTCATATTTTTTGTTTAGATTGTTAATTAAAATGTTGATAATTATATTGTTTGGTACCTGTCATTGAGCGTAGTTTTTTAAAGAATGAGACGCGAACATTAACTTTCGAAATTAATTTTGTTTTTCGACTGTTGTAAACAAAAGTCGTTACAATTGGCACATTTTCTTTACTACATAAAGTTTCCAAGTTGGGGCTTCACCTCCAATCGATGAGAAATTGATTTAAATTGTCTGTGTTAAGCTGTTGTCAACAGTGACTCTACTTAATATTCAAGTTGAAATTATTTAATTTATAGTTTCCAAATTTTCGTTTGTTACGTTGCAGTGCGACGGGGGGAGCTGCTTGACAGAGTTGTGCATACAGTTGGCCATCATTTTTGTTGGCAAGCAACTTATCCAAAACAATTTGGTTGAAATAGTCTTACCGTTTGTTTCGTTTTTTATTTTTTAACTGTTCAGCAATATTATACGTTATATTTCATTTAATCAGACGAATCAAGAGAGCCATAAGGATGTGTCTGAGGAATAAAAATAAGAAACTTATATTAAAGCCATGGGAGAAAGATTTTAATTTGGAAGAAATGGGATCGTTAGGATTATTGCAGGAATATCTGGAAATGAGTTGGTATTATTGTTATAATATTATTATTGTTATTACTATTATACTATTATTATTGTTATCATTATTATATTATTATTGTTGTTACATTCGTTAATGTTCGGCCGATTTTTAGGACGGCATTTTTTGCAAGAACTGTTGGGTGCATCTTCCGTATAGATAAGAAATAATTAATGTAGAATGTTGGCCGCAGCTTTTAACATAATTCAACTTTTAGTACTTTTGGACAACTATGATGAAGTATCGTTCCAATTTTTCGGTTGTTTTGACGATATTTTCAAATTTAGACAATTTTTGTTCTTTTATTGAAAAGGCTCTGATTGGATGATTTTTTTGAACCATACGCCACCTAGGGCATGACTAGGTGAATTACTTTCATTTCCAGAAATGATTGCTCGTGGTTTGAAAATTTTTCTTAATATCGTACAAAGCACTTATTCCGGTTTGAATTTATTCATTTTACTTTGCCTGATTGTATTCATAACTACATTTTGCACTTCGAAAATTTTTTCATAAGTTGAACCAACAAATTTCTGAAACTTCCGTCGAAAATCCCCGATTTTTATTAGCACCCTTGGATTTATATTGCATTATTCTTTTTCTACTTTTTTGCATTTCATGAATTCTTAAATGGTCGATCAATACTTTTCCTAACTCAACTTCTTCCAACTCTGTATTATATTGAGTTAACATGAATTCTCAACCACATCAACAAACAACTGAAATCACTTGCCATCATCATAATGTTTGACGACTGCACAGGTTGTGTTGTCAAATGGCCGTGAATGTATGCAAACTTATTGCGTTGCAAAACTTTTTACACAGATAGCACAAAAAATGGACGGGTTGCTAAATTGAACAAAAATTGCAAATTATATTTTGTGCTTTTTGTTTTTCTTTTGTTTTAAAAACATTCTTTCCAAGCATGATGGTGGCCGGAAGAAAACTGTTTTCAAATGACAACGGCTTACAATATATAAATTTAACCAATTAATAATATATAAATTTATGTAAATTCGCTTATCCGCATATTCGTTATGTATTATTGAATTCTGTTTTCAATGCACATTTCACATAAACTCATATTATCACATTCTATTTTCAATATACTTATTTTGTTGGATTGTTTATTCTTCGATGTGCACTTTTCTTACTTGTTTCTACTGTTGTTGTAAATTTTAATAAAACACTAAGTACCCATATTTATTTGAACTCAGTGATTCAGTTTGGCTTCGTGACGTTGTTCGTGGCAGCGTTCCCACTTGCTCCCTGCTTCGCTTTCATAAATAACCTCATTGAGATCAGGTCAGATGCCAACAAATTCGTAACTCAATACAGAAGACCCATGCCTGCAAGAGCTGTCTCAATCGGTTGGACTTTTTCATTCCGTTCAATTTACTTATTTGTTATTGAACAGACCTTAAAGAAATATGTATATTTTTATTATTTGTATTAATTGCCATGCCATGTTGTATTCAAAATGTTTAATGATATTATGTTTGATCTGTTTCACTGAAAGCAGCCGCTGTGTCACACATGTGACGATGTGTCGTGGCTCATAAGAAAGTATTAAGTTCTACGTTGTTGTAACCAGCGACCGCTTGCACGTGTGACGCGATCTTTGAACTCTTTGTATTGTTAAAACTTGCATGCCTAATAAAAACATGTGTGATAAGCACTCGCCCCACGGTGTTAACACATTTTGAAAACAAGGTTTGCCTGCTGTTAGTGTCTGGCCATTCAAAAGTAATTAAAATATAATCAAGATATTCACATCAATCGGATGGCGATGCAATTGTATTCCTCACGCTTCAAATCATTTCACACATATACAATAAGTTCATTAAATAACACCACACATTAACATATATGCTCACATGTAAACAAATCAATGTACATGTACAATGTGTAACGTAGACATACATGCGATATATTAAAACTTGGGTGACAAAAAATCCTACTCAAATCTGAAATGGCTGAAATCTCCAAACAAAATATTGATCTCCTTAAAATTTTTAACTATAATTTCGTAAATTTTTGTAAAGTACTTGTACATTGTACTTAAAAAATTTCAAGTACAAGTACATTGTGAAATAACAAGTACTAGTGCAGGTACATGGGTGTCAAGCGCAAGTACTGCTAGTAGTACTCGAGTACAAGTACCACATCACTGCTGAATATCAAACACAGAATTATAAATATTTATTCAACTATATATTAAAACGGAGCAAAATAATTCAACAAAAATTGCACATGTACACTGTGCAATTTCTGTAAAATTAAATACAATGAGAATCATGATTTCAGGATTAAATGTATGCAAGATCAAGTGTAAACGTAATGTGTAATGGGTTCAAGTGTAACGGGATCAAGTGTGTGTACATCGTTGACATCGCTGACATCACCAAGATAGACTAAAATGAACAGTGATAAGCCAGATGTGACTAAGAATAATAACAGTTTGTTCGACTAATTCTTAAGATATATTGTAGTTAATGTAGCTTTGTAGATAAAAATTAAAACACGATGAAAGCGTAAAAGTTTAGTTTTAAAAAGTATTTAAACGTACTTAAAAAGTTTATACACACAGCTTCTTTCCACTCAATCATTGATTTTTATAATGCTTTGACAATCGTCATTGGTCAAGTATTTGACGATCGTACACGTACATATACGCGAGTACAAAATAATGTATCATAAGCTTCGGCACATCTTCACGGTCAGGATCTTTTTCGACCAACTGAGGTCACTGCTGCACAGGACCTTGTGCTTCAACCATTGAGCCATCGTTGAGACCGATCACATTTAATTACGATTAAATACAGGAGAGGTTTTATGAGTTTGATGCTGGATGAAGATAGTTCATTTTGAAAGAAACCAGAAAACTTAATTTAAAACACTGACGGCGGCTTCCTTTAATTTACAGATTTCTTTTGATTTTTTGCAATAAAATAATCTCAAAATAAAATTTAAGCAGTCTTAATTTTAATAGCTAATGAATCAATTGAACCATGCGTGCATACGTTCATTTATGCGACATGAGCTTTTGTAACTTTCGATATTTTGTTACTTATTTGTAGGAGTTTGGTATGAAATTTTACATGCTATAACAAGAATTTCCATCGTCACAAATGTAGGTTGATTTTTATTGTTTCAATAGATCATTCTAATATATACCTTTATTTTGTTCTTTAATAATCTCATTAATCTTTTGCCTTATTGTATTAATGTTTATCTTGGGATAAATTTTCGTCCCGCTTGAATTCCTCTCGAGGGACGTGAGAACCAATTTATTGTAAATACGACCTGACCCATTTCTTTATGATATTGACTTTCTAATTGATCTTATCAAAAATCGATCCTCCACGTGATATTTTCTTTGCCTTTTTTACGTCTGCCTGTCGTTCATTTTTGTGAAGCAATATCTTTTGGCATTTTAAATTCACTCGGATGACTAGCTTATGACCAGTCTTGGTGACCGTTTGTTAAAACTTAATCTCGAGTAGAACGATTTTATGTTCAAGACGATTTTAGGTTTATTGAGTAGTTTTATGTGGTTGTTTTAACTTTTTAACCACAACACAACTTTTCACTGGAAAAACGATGTTTTTGTAAACTTTGTTATTTTTAGTTCGTCTGACGCTAATTCATGTAGTTGCCCCCTCGTCAAATTGTCTTCCTATTCCCTTGATAACCAATTTTCGTTTCTTCACAGATACAACAATCTTCAAGCAAGGCTTTAATGTTTATCGTGTTGAATATATATACTTCTAAGTAGAAATTTCCATTAAACTCACTTGCTTTGATGACAAGATTTTTTTTGTGTTTCCCACTAATAAAGCTTTATTTTTCGTTAAATCCATCAGTTTTTTTTTATTGCGTCACAACGCATGACTTAGATTGGCTCAAGGAAAACTCATTATGTACATTTATTTTGTTCTTTAATAATCTCATTAATCTTTTGCCTTATTGTATTAATGTTTTAATATAAACATTAATATATTGTTTATATTTCGGCCACACAATTCTTCTCGAGGGACGTGAGAACCAATTTATTGTAAATACGACCTGACCCATTTCTTTATGATATTAACTTTCTAATTGATCTTATCAAAAATCGATCTTTTTGTAATCGGGTGGTCTTGCATCGGGTGGTCCGGAACTTTCTGAATGAAAAACCTTGTTAAGATTGACATAAACATTAACTGTGACGATAATAGTAATGCTGCTTTTAGTTGTAGTGTTGTAGTATTACGATAGACAGGCGATGAAAACTATGGTAATCATAATTGTGTTAGTGCCACAACTGACAGCGTCATAAATTTCAATAACTATTAACTTCTAGTAATAATTCAATTAATAATAACATCCTTCAACAAACATTTGACATATTTTAAGACATCAGTTTAAGACATTAATTGTAGTGTTGTAGTATTACGATAGACAGGCGATGAAAACTATGGTAATCATAATGGTGTTAGTGCCACAACTGACAACGTCATAAATTTCAATAACTATTAACTTCTAGTAATAATTCAATTAATAATAACATCCTTCAACAAACATTTGACATATTTTAAGACATCACAAAATTAAAAGACAGGCTCTACCCATCATCACAAATTATAGTCACATAGTTCTTTATCAACGCGTGTCAACCAACCTCGTCAACATCTATAAGCCTCTTAGATTCATATATTTTTACTTTTATATTCCTTATTAAATCGTTGTTTATGAATTATCATGGTGTTTGAAAATTAATCTTTAATTATTATGATGTAATTTTGCAGTTTCATTTTTCAAATATACTGATGCCAAGTTTATTGCTTGTTTTGACACTGTATCTGATTTTAATATGAGATTCATGAGCTTTTGAACGTTCTTCTGGTATTTTGCATTTGCTTTGTCTTTGATTTCAACATGTTTTTTTTGCTCATCGATAGTTTTTGCAAGTTGAATCACAATTTGTTGCTAGAACGAAATCAAAGGGGCATTCGTATTTATTTGTATTTGGTACTTACATTTTAACTGGTTTTTAATTTTAGGCTTGCATCATAGCATTCACATCAAGTTTCATACAACGAGAATTGTACAAACGAGTTTATAGTTCGGACAACACTTTGAATGGTTTCCTTAACAACAGCCTGGCTTATTTTGATGTCAATGATTTTGTTAACGGCACCGCGCCCAAAACTGAAGATATTAAAGAGAAATACAAGAACACAACGTATTGCAGGTTTCCTACATTTTCCACTCTCCTTAAAATAAAACTAATTAAAAACTTTTGAAGTTCTTTTTGTTGAACTTTAAAGAATAAATTGATTTTTTAATAACTTTTTGGAATATTCAAAAAACGTGAAATGTTTTTAAAAATAGGGGAGTAACCCCGCACAGTGTCCCAATCCACTTTTTTAAATAATTTTTGTTTTTGTATTTTTTGCTAGCAATTCAAATTGAAAATGTTTCAATTCTGTGTTGCCTATTGCATTTAAGTTATTTTTTGGAACGAACAATCACGTTTTACATAAAAACCAGCACCCCCACCATGCTTACTTGTGCAATCTACAATCTATCCATCAATTTTAACATCACTGCTATCAGTCTATCAAATCATCGGGGAACTTTTAAGCGGAGTTCCACAAGGTAGTGTCCTCAGACCACTTCTTTTCAATATATACATAAATGACATAGTTAATGTACATCTTAACTTAGATATAGATCTAATCATCTATGCAGATGACTGCAATAAGTGCGCAAATTCAAATAACATACCTGATTTAATTCACAAAACTGAAACATTTCTCTCTAAAATTGAAAAGTGGTCTAAATCAAATAAACTCTCTGTCAACTTAAAAAAAACAAAATTCATGATTGTTCCAAATAAAAGAAATACACCTATGCATAACATAACTTTAAAATTGAACACCAAGGAAAATAATGAACAGAGCATAACAAAAGTTGATAGCTTTAAACTTCTGGGTGTATGCATCGACAATAAACTTAACTTTAATGATCATATCGAACTAATTTTAACAAAAATTAATATAATTTTTGGCATAATGATAAGAATTAAAAATGTTTTAAATAATAATACTAAAAGACTACATTACCAATCATTAATTTTTACTCATTTTTACTATGGTAACGTAATATGGGGTAATACAAACATTTCAACACTTAACAAATTATTTAGCGCACAAAAAAAGATAATTAATTTTCTATTTAAAATCGATTATAATCACTCCGATTACAATATATTTAATAATAATAATATTTTATCAATTTTTGAAATAAATTCCTATAAATCATCTTTATTAACATTTAAAATTATCAACAATATAACATCTACAACTGATATAATGTTAATTAATACGATTAAATTTATAGCTAACCCCAGGATTGACAGAACTAACAATACTAATATAATTAAGCCATTAATGAATTTAAATAAAATAACATCCAGGAACTTTTGTTATTATGCACCTTATAAATGGAATAATCTGCCACAATATTTAAGATCAATTAATAATCTAACAGAGTTTAAAAAGAAGTTGAAAACATTTTTAAATTGTTTAAGTTAAATGTATTAATATTTTATTCTTAATTTTATTCATTTTTTAAGTTTAAATGTATCGATGTTTTATTTCTAAGTTTATTCATGAAAATTTAAGAACATTGAAGAATTTAAAAGACATTTATTTTACTCATTTATGTTATTGTGTTTATTTTTTGATGTTATTTCTTGTTTTATGGGAGTCAACCCTAGATAAGCATTTATTGCTAGGCTGACTCTTTCACTTTTTTTGTGAATAAATGGAATTAAAAAAAAAAAAAAAACTTTTATGGGAAATAAATTTTAAGAAAGCTATAAACACTTTTATATATCGCATCTAAGATAAAATTCCGCATAAAGTACTTACCTTTCTACCCTATTTCTACAGATACTTAGATTACAGAGAACCACCATGGTCTGCTAAGAAGTACCAATACACCACACAATATTGGCATCTTATGGCATCCCAGTTCATTTTCGTGGTTTTGTTTGAGGTGAGCAATTTGTTTGATATTTGGAATGTCTTTGTTATGTTTTCTATTTAATTTCATTATATTTTTAAATAATCTGTAATCATTATAGTTCTTAATAGGCTCTGTTAATGTCAAAACCATATCACAATGAATTCAGGTAAGTGTACAACTTACTTGATTATTGATGACATTTGCAAGAAAAAGTCAAGGTCAGAAGGACAAAGGTTCATAAATCGTGGCGAGTTCATTAAAATGAAATAGCGTGCGCACGAACAGCGAGTCAACAGCAGCAGCAGTTTAATGAGTGCACTTGAAGCGTGATCTGGTAATGAATAGTTTGAGAGCGAATGCGGATAATCCGAAAACTGAGGTCTTGAAGAAAGATTTGATTTTGGCAAATTACTATAAACAACGTGTGATAAAGGCATTGAAACTTTACCTTCGGATTCGAAACTTCGAGGTGTTATCGTGATGGCTCAATGGTTAAAGGCGCCTGGTTTTGCTATTGCAATGACTGGGTTCGAATACAAAGAGATCCCTGACTATCATATGCAATGTGTATAATGCGTGGTTAGCACGCATATTCATATACGCTGTGTGTGTTTGTCGTTGAAACCTCTGAAGTAAACGCAAAAGAGAGAGATTAACCTTTAACCTTTATCTAAAATGCTGAATCATTGAATTGTAGAACCATTGAATTGTTGAATCATTGAATTGTAGAATCATTGAATAGTTGAACCATTGAATTGTAGAACCATTGAATTGTTGAATCATTGAATTGTAGAACCATTGAATTGTTGAATCATTGAATTGTTGAATCATTGAATAGTTGAACCATTGAATTGTTGAATCATTGAATTGTTGAATCATTGAATAGTTGAACCATTGAATTGTTGAATCATTGAATAGTTGAACCATTGAATTGTTGAATTATTGGGTTGTTGTGCGACCGCTTTAAAAAGTTAATTTCAAAACTAACTTAATTAACAAAATGCTAATGCCAAACAGTTTGCTTGACCTGAACGTAAATCGTTTGATACTGTAAAATATGTAATTGATTTTATTTGCAATTTAATAGAATATCGGTACCACGTTGAATATATTAAATAATGAGACAGGAGAAGTTTCTTGGATTGGTGACAATTTACAAAGACCCAATCTGTCCATGACGTTTTAAGACCTCAAACTTTTCCTTTTATCCACGTTTCCTGTCAAGTCATTCATTATTTTGTGCTATGCTATGTTATGTCATATCATGTCATGTTATGTCATGTCATGATGCTATACTGATAATATAAAATATGTAAATTATTTATTTAAAGCCGTTGCTGTTGTAATCGTGCGTTTATAGGGTCTGGTAGGTGAAAAGTTGCCATTAAGTGTGATAAATAAGCCTTCTTCAGTAAAAGATAACTAAAAAGAAACATCGCTCAGAAAAGGTCAATAATTTGAGTTCTAAATTGTTTTGAGAACGAGTTTTGGAAGGGGGCACTTTTTATCAATCCTTAATCGATCTTTTCATTTGATGGCAACAAGTTTTTGCCGGTATGTGCACCTAGAAAAAAAAATTTATTTTAGAATTAAAAATAGAAGTTTCTATCGATTAAAATCCTGTTGATGGTTAAAGGTGTTTTGGCGATAATTATTTTTTTCATTAAAACTTATTATAAAAAATTCATCTCGAACAAATGATCAAATAAAGCATTAACAAACAATTGTTTTAACGTAATAATAGAAATCATTACAACTGGATGTGTATTATATGCACTTACACATAATATTTTGGCAACTTTGATGAATACATTTTATTAAAATTAACATTTATTCCAGAACATAATAGTATTAATAACTTGCTTTGTGGCCTACTTGATTCCCGACACATCAACACAAGTCAGTCACATGATGAGAAGAGAAGCTGTTGTTGTAAACGAGATTCTGCTGAAGACTGAACTAAACAGAGCTAAGGGGTTTAAACCTGGCCTTAGCAAATCCAGTCTCAACGAAATTTCGCACAGGATTAATGCCTCAGAGGGGAAAGGTAGAATGGATTTCAAATCACAAACCAGTACAGAGTCTGGGAACAGGGAGGATAACGATACGAACAAGGACGACAGCGTTGTTGATCCACCCCTGGATGAACATTCTTGGTACCTTCTTAGACAAGCGAAGCAAAACGATAACAATGATGTTTCTTTTGTTTGAATTCTTATAATGCATTTTCTTTCCTCTACTGACTCCAAGCTTGTTTAACATGACGTACTGTCAATGTATGCAATATTTCTATAGAACGCAAATATCATAATTTTTTTAGATGTTTTAATATGGTGTCACAGTATGAACATGTAATTTCATATCTATTGCTTTGTTTCTTAGCGAATCTCAGTTTATTCATTCAAATATTATGTGAGTTACGTACATAATTCGTATGCAGCTTGTTAAATCTGAGCAACTGTTTTATACTCAGCTATGTTTTATTTTTATTCCAACTTTTTTAAATATATAAACAATATCTATATTTTTGTATACACTTAACGAACCTTGTTGTATAAATGCTTATGTATTTAAAAAGATTTATATTGCTAAATTGTGTCACATCTTGCATTTCGTTGTTGAATTTGTTTGTGCAAATTTGCTTATTTAACTGTTTGATGTTAAGCTTTTTTGAAAGTGGTTATAATAAAACGATTTCCGTTTGTATTTCCGATTGAGTGTTTGTTTCATTAATTTTTCGGCTGAATGTAATGTGACCGAGAAAGATAATCTGGCAGTAGAGTTGGGATGACGTCACGAAGTACAGTTTGGATAAATATGTAACAAATACTCTCCATGTTAAAAAAATAATTGTTTTAACTTGGAGAGGATACGCAAATAATAAAAGAAGAACAAATCTGATTGTAAAATTAAAGTGAAATGAAATAGTTTAACGAGTGAAGCGTGTGTGTGTCAGGCATGAGTAAAAAGAAGAAATTCTTTTCTATAAGAACACGAACGTCGAATAAATAAAATGTTGAATATTTTTTAAAATAGTACATCATTGATCATCACAATTGTTTTGTATAGGAACAATATACGATAAAACCTTACAACAATATACTTGAGTATCCTTTGTTATTTGTTCAAAATAGCAGGACATAAACCTTGGCACTAACCCAACATGAACTTCCGGTGCAGAAGACGAGATAGAAATGATTAGAAATTTTCCAGCTTCAAACTATTTAATATTTATATTAAATTCTGATGACTTATTAATGCTAATTTGCTAATTTTGTCTAAACAACTAAACAAAGGTTTACATGAAAAATGTTTTAAATTGTTTAAGTTTACAACCGACAAATATTACCTCTGTTGAAAATTTTCAATTATGTACTGGGTCAAATAATTTAATAAAAAATTGCTCTTCCAGTTTTTTTTAGAATCCGAGAATTTAAAAAAATTTAAATGGCGGAAAATTAAATGGTGATTACTAGCTAGATGGTTATTTATTTGAGTCCACAACAATCAATCAATTAGCATGTAAAGCGCTATTTCCGCGATGTTCAACAGCGCTCTTCAATGAATTTTGCAAACAGATGGGTCTTGAGATCCGCTCTGAACTTCGTAAGTGATGGAGAAGTAGTCAGAGAAGTAGGTAGAGAGTTCCAGAGAACAGGGCCAGAAAAAGCAAATGCAGATTTAGCAAAAGAGTGTTTAACACTAGTTAAAGAAGTGAGAGCAAGAAGACGATTGTAAACAGGGGCGTTTAGATTCAATTAATATATCTGATAAGTACTTAGGAAATAATTGAGATTGAAACTTATACATTAATGTAAAAATTTTAAAAATTATTCTATATTTTATAGATAGCCAGTGCAAGAGAACGAGATATGGAGATATATGAGAAAAGAAAGGGGCACGAGCAACTAGAAGAACAGCAGAGTTAAAAGCTTTGCTTAAAGGATAGAGTATAGAATCAGGAAGACCATAGTAGAGCGAGTTACAATAATCAACCATAAATAAGACTAACGAAGTAACAAGAAGGAAAAGAGTAGGATCATTAGGAAAAGGCAAAAGTTTTTTTATTCTTTGTAGATGAAAGTAAAAACTTCTAGTAACACTATTAATCTGAGAAGAAAGAGACATGCTAGAATCAAAGATAAAGCCTAGACTACAAAACTTGTAAGAAACATCAAGAGTTTTAGAATAAGGTAAGATTATAGGAGGAATAGTAATAGATTGTTTAGATTTATTAAAACAAATTAATTCAAATTTAGAAGGATTAAGCTTAAGACACATAGAGTCAGACCAAGCGATAATTGAAGAAAAACATAGAGATAGATTATGAAAAACACTATTAAGATTAGATGGAGGAAAAGAAGAATAAATATAAGAATCATCAGCATATAGTTGACTAGTGAAAATAAAGTTATTAATAATACGAGGTAGTTCAGAGGTGTAGAGTATAAAAAGAAGAAGGCCAAGGATAGAACTCTAAGGTACCCCGAAAATAGGAGTAGCGAGTTAGAAGTAGAATTGTTGGAACAACAGAAGAACAACGATTAAAGAGATAAGAAAAAAACCAAGATAGACAAGAATCAGTAATATTAAAAGAATGATCTAGAAGCCTTAAGAGAATAGTATGATCAACAGTATCAAAGGCAGAGGAAAAGTCAAGAGCAAGAAGAAGAGTAAGATTACTATTGTCACTAGAAAGAAGGATATCATTATGTATTTTGAGTAAAGAAGTTTCAGTATTGTGAGCAGGTCTGAAACCAGATTGAGATACAGATAGCAAGGAGTTAGAGTTTAAATAAGATGACAATTGATTATAAACTACTTTTTCTATTAGTGCAGAGATGAAGGTAATATTAGTAACAAGTCTATAATTAGATAAAGAGGTAGGATCAAAAGATGAGTTTTTAAGAATAGGAATAACAAAAGAATTTTTATAAGAAGTAGAAAATTTGGAGGTAGAAAGAGATAAATTGCCAAATAGTAAAATTTTTGGGAATCAGCTACTGTTTCTGGGTGACCCATACCTGATTTTGCGTTAAAAGATGTGATACAGGATAAAATGGAATAGCATTCATGTGCTTGCTAATTTTACAATAAAGCAGAGCGTCGTTAATATGTAACCAGCCTTACTTGTATACCAGTATACCATACTATACTAGTAAGCTGAATGATTTGCTACCGTGCATATATTTTTCTAAGTCTGATCGCCATTCATTTTAATTTTTTTTTATATGACTTGCCCATCCAATTGGCTGTAATTGTAATTGGTTGTTTGGTGAGCTGAAGTGAGAGCACAGATTTGAATGTTTAAAATTTACGATAAAATTAAAGTTTACAATGGAAAAATCAACTGAAAATAAACTTTCATTCCTAGACGTACTAATACAAAATGTGCAAAATGAATTTAAAACCTCAGTATACACTAAAGCAACAAACAAAGGCTTATGCCTCAATGGCAATAGTGAACGTTCTCAAACATATCTAGAGAGCACGATTTCTGCCTTGGTAGAAAACGAGCCTACACACACCTTCTGATATAGGAAGCAGGATACAGAACTATTTAGAATCACTAAACTACTCATTAATAATGGATAAAAAATTCTATGATCCAGAAAATAATAGAACGCAAACAACAAAAAGCAGCAACAATAACAATGCAACCAACATTAGTAACAAAAATAACATAGTAATATATTATAAGTATCACATGTCAACCGCTTTTGAACAAGATAAAAAAATTATGAAAAGAATTATAAAAAATAACGTCCAGGCAACCAACGAAAACGTCATCTCTTGTGATGAAAAACAACTGCACTAGTAAACCAGAATCGATGATGGATCATAGCCATCTAATATATTTGTTCAAATGTAATATTGGTGAGTGTGGGCACCATAATTCCGAATATATTGGTATGCCGACGACCAAGTTATCGAGAAGACTCACGATGTACGTTCAAGCTGGCGCTATAAAGAATCACAAGAAAGAGAAACACAAAACTAAAGATTCTAGACAAATTTTGGATCATAATGTTGAAATCTTACATTACAATAACAACCATTATATACGAATATACGAATAATGTTGAATGTTGCGGCTGTGTCTAAATTTTCTCCGTGTTTTTGAATAAATATTGTGTATTTTTTACTGATATACAGTTGAATTTGGATTATTATAATAGAGTAAATTGAGGAGAGTATTTTCGTTTTTTTATTTTTTCGAAATAATATAATTTAGTATTTTTAATTGAATTTAATAATAATATTTAGTTTAATAGTTGAGTTAGATATTTTTTTTTTTTTTTTTTTTTTGTTAATTTTCTGTTAACACTCCCTCAGTAATTTAATCTGTTGAATTTGTTGTTTGAGCTTTGTTTGCAGACATTTATCGTACAACATTAACATTCGCATTTCACTAACCTACTACAGTACAACTTATATTGTTATTATTATATCACAGAACGTTGTTTATTTTTGGTTTTTCTGCAGTAATGACGAACGAAAATTGTTGTAAATGTGATAGTGTTGTTGAGGATGGAATTTGCTGCCCATGCTGCCAAAGTTTCGTACATCCGAAATGTGCTGGTTTCACCAAGGACTCGCTGTCATTATATAAAAAAATGAAAAACTTAAGGTGGTATTGTGACAACTGCCTGAGCTATGTCGATGATGTTAAAGGGATTTCCAAGTTGATAAATGATAAACATGTGGCATTAAATATGGAATTGAAGAAGATTTCTGAATCTGGGGACATTTTAAGGAATGACATAGAGCAGTTGAGGATCGCAGTCGATAATAGTAAAGGAAAATTGGATCAGGTTGCTAGTGTTGATTCATTGAAAAGTGAAATTAATGCTAAGTGGTCTGAGGTTGTTAAAAAAAATTGTGATGCTGTATGTAGTGAAGTTAGATCGATACAAAAAACACTTAATGTTGTAAATGAAAATAAAGAACGTGAAAACAATATCATCATTTTTAATCTTGCTGAAAGTGAAAATAGTGTGAAAGATAAAGAAATTGTGATGAAAATCTTTCAATCGCTGACTGAGGAGTCAATTAAAAGCAGCGACGTTGTTAAAGTTTTTAGACAGGGCAAAAAAGAGGAGCAAATTACCTCTCCACGCCCGATAATTGTTAAATTTAACAACACGTCATCAAAGGTACTTGTGATGAATAAACTGTTTAAAATTAAATTGCTTGACGATAAATTGAAAAGTATTAGAATAAGTCATGATATGACCCGTGAACAACGAACTGATTATCGTAAACTGGTTGATGAGGCTAAAAGTAGAGAGGCTGATGATGGGGAAGATTTTTTATACCGCGTCAGGGGTCCGGTGGGTCGCTGGAAGATTGTGAGGTTTCTCAAAAAAGGAAAATAAAAACTCTGTGTTTTGGTTTGCTTAACATAAGATCAATGTCAAAGTTTAATTTTGTCTATGAACTATTGGATGATAGTTTGGACATTTTTGTATTAAATGAAACTTGGCATGGTTCGTCTAATAATGTTTGTCTTAAACTTGCTATGCCACCTGGTTTCACATACGTTGATTTTTTGTGACCTTCAGATCCCCTGCATGGTGGAGTTATTGTATATTTCAGAGATTATTTTAGGTTTAAAAGAATTGATCTGCCACAATTGAAGACATTTGAAGCAGTAGCTATTAAGTTTTTCATCAATCATACTGTAATTATTTTGTTGGCATTATACAGACCAGGATCATCTGCTGTATCAGCATTGTTTTTTCATGAATTGATCTGTGTTCTGGATGAAATATCAATCCTTGCGGATTATTTGCTGCTTTCTGGTGATTTTAATATTCACATGGAAAATTTGAATAGTTCTACAACTGTTAGATTATTGGAAGTATTTAACTCATATCAGGTTACAAATAGAATAAATTAGCCAACTCATAATTTGGGTGGTACGTTAGACTTGGTAGTGTCTTCCGACGATTTTCCTGCTATTGAATGTATTGTTAATCCATGTGATATATACTCAGATCACAGTTTCATCAAATCGGTTTTTCCAGTGATATTGAAGCAGCCTGTTTTTCGCCTAAAATGGGTTCGTTCTTGGGGTCGGATGGATGAAAAATTATTTTCATCATTAGTTTTGGGTTCTCATATCAGTGGTCCATTTGATTACAATGATGCGGGCTTGATGCTGGTGATGTTTACTGAGGAAATGAAATCTATCATAGATAAGGTAGCTCCACTGCATTTGGTGAAATCGAGACATGTCCCATCAGCGCCATGGTTTGATGATGAATGTAGAAAATTAAAAAGACTTTGCCGTAAATTGGAGAGACAGTATAAAGTTAATAAAACATTATCTAATAGAGATGCTTGGAAAACTGCTCTTATTAATGTTTATAAAAATAACTACTGGAAAAAGTTGGTGGAAAATAATAAAGGTCAACCAAAAAAATTATGGACTATTGTAAACAAATTACTTTGTAGAGCAACCTCACTAGATTCATCAAAGTCATCATCCTGTCAGCATTGTTCTACTGATTTTGCAGAATATTTCAAAAATAAGATTGGAAAAGTTATAAAAGATACGGATGCATTTTATATGCCATTGCAGTCTTTTCACAAACTTTATGATGGACAATTGTTCAACAATTTCTCGCTTTGTTCAAGTGATGATATCAAAAAGATCGTTTTGGAATCACCAACAAAATCATGTCTGTTGGATTGTTTACCTACCAGATTGATGAAGGCACACTTAGATTTGTTCTTGCCATTTCTAACCTTTTTTATTAATTTAAGCTTGAAAACTGGTGTTTTTCCGTCTGCATGTAAGCATGCTTTGGTTACACCAATATTGAAAAAACAGTCTCTCGATAAAGATGAAATAAATAATTATCGTCCGGTGTCAAACTTAACGTTTATTTCAAAGTTAATTGAACGAGTAGTTGCAATGCAGTTTGTTCGACATTTGAATGAGCATAATTTACTACCATCATTGCAATCTAGTTATCGGAGATTTCATTCAACAGAGACAGCACTTATTGATGTCACATCTTCATTGTTTGAATCGATGGAATCACATGATGTATCACTTCTTGCTCTGCTTGATATGAGCGCAGCATTTGATTGTGTTGATCACAAATTGCTGGTTCATAAACTTAAACGCTGTGGTATCACCGGGACTACCCTCAAATGGTTTGAGTCTTATTTAATTGGTAGGACTCAGCAGATTATTTTTAACAATGAATTGTCTACAACTGAAACTATAAGATTTGGTGTGCCACAAGGATCTGTCCTTGGCCCCATTTTGTTTCTAGTTTACACAGCTGATGTTTTCAACATAATCAAGAATCATAATTTTAAGTGCCATGGTTATGCGGATGACATTCAGATTATTGCTACTAGTCATGTTACATCGTTTCCAGTCATGATTGATAAATTAGCACTATGCCTTGGTGAAGTTGATCATTGGATGAAAACGCATCGCCTTAAATTAAATACCTGTAAAACTCAGCTTATGAAGGTTGGAACGTGGCAGCAATTGTCAAAATTACAAATTGGATCAATTAATATTTGTGGTGATTCAATCGATTTTTGTGCATCTGTGCGCAATCTGGGAGTAGTTTTTGATAGTAGTCTATTGATGAAGGACCATGTTAAATCACTTACAAGTGAATGCTATCATCATATGCGTGGATTTAGAATTGTCCGGAAGTCGTTAAGTAGACACATATTACAAAGTCTGGTGCATGCATTCGTACATTCAAGGCTGGATTACTGTAATGTTTTGCTCTACGGCACTGCAAATAATGTGATTAGTCAGCTTCAGTCAATACAAAATCGAGCAGCAAAGATTGTAACAGGTGCATCAAAGTTTGAACATGTGACCCCAATTTTGAGTGAATTGCATTGGTTAACTGTTGAAAAAAGAATTGTTTTCAGAATTGCTGTGATGGTTTATAAATGCAGAAATGGCCTGGCTCCCAAGTACCTTCAAGATAAAGTTGTTCAGAGGGATATTCCTATGCATCGACTTGGACTGCGTTCAGATTGTTCAGATTTGTTAAAAGTTCCTTTTGCTAAATTGAAGATTGGATCACGTAATTTTTCTATTGTAGGACCGACGATCTGGAATAGTCTGCCACAGTACTTACGTGATCCGGGTGTCTCCCTTGGAAAGTTTCGAAAAGAATTGAAAGCTTATTTATTTTCTCTGAGCAAATGATACTTTTAGTTAATGGCGTTTTTGAGAAGATTGAAAAAGCGCCTATTAAACATTCATAATAATAATAATAATAATTATAATTTACGACTAGACGAATCAATACCTACTCATAGAACAAAGACATCAGATAATAAAAATTCAACAACGGGCAATTGGAATTCTTCCTACCAATAAATTTAGAAACAGAGGAATGATCTATAATGAAAACAAGTAAAAGTGTTATATTAAACGAAGTTTAAGATTGTAAAGCTAGTTAAATGAGCGTTAAGTATTCACTTTGAACAAACAAGGAATCAATAAAGTGGAGTATAAACACAATATATATATATATATATATTTAGCATCTGGGCACATACACAACAAATCAATTTGAACACCGAAAATGGTATAGGAAGACCGAAAAAAGCTTTCTTGTTCTATCATGCATGAAATAAACAAAAATTTTAGTTTTGAACTCAAGAAACTTGGAATTGATTTACAATCAACCGTTAGAAAAATCGAAAAGTTAAATAGGAAGTTAACTAACGCCTAACATGCTGTGATTTTCTTCAATAATTGCTTATATATATATATATATATATATATATATATATATATATATATGAAATAATTTTAGACAATAACACCAAAGCAATTTATTACAACAAAGAATACTTCAAATTGAAGATAGCAGAATCAATTTTCATTGATAAATGTAAACCAGTAATAATTATTCAAATATATATTTTCTTTTGTTATGGTGTGTTTTGCGATCGCTGCTGTTGATGTATTTTGCATGTCTTTCTGTAGTGAAATGCTGATGTGTAATGATTGTAATTAATAAAATAAATGGACCTATAAATAAGCGAATAATAGGTAATGAATTAAAACTGCTGAACAGTAAACGTGGTGCATGTTGTTGTTGGCTGCCATCACCTGGTCCAGATTCGTCTTGTTCTTTGCGAGAACTCCTGATCATGGGTCGTTGTGCAGTCAGTTTTATAAATTGAAAAAAACAAGAGAGAAAGGGAGAGAAAAAGAAGGAATAAAACATAGCGACAGAAACAATTGGCAGAATGCTAATTGGTTTGTTTACGTACGAGTGCTGACGTAATCTGAATGATGTCAGCGAGATGACCCCAAGAATAGGGATGTGCTTGTATTAAGAGTCATATTGATATTTACTAGTCGTAATAGCTGAGATATTTTTTGTTATATTAGTTAGTTAGGCCGCAGAAGTTGTTTTTGTTCGTTTATTTATATTTCTTCAACAATTCACTGTCAGTAATATGATGACGACGATGACAACGATGATGATGTTATTGATAAAATAAGTGATGATGCGTTTGTTTATGCATTTGTTAATTCAAATGCATGAAGTATGTGTGCGGTATGTACGGTTTTGTATGCATGTTTATGAATGTGTATGTTTGAAAATGAGTGTGTGTATGTGTGCTGATGTGGATAATGCTGTGTTTACATGAACTGATGTGTGTGTGTATTGCAAGTACATTATATTGAAACTGCGGGAATTTATAATTTTCATCATGAACAATTCGAAGTGAGATATTTGATTATATGCGTTCTTCAGCTGCATAATTATCATTCCACCACCACAATCATCATCACATCAACGATGA